AGCACTGTGGTTACTCTGCGAGGTTACGTAGTAGGTCACAGTGCTCTTGGACTTGTCCACCAAGGCTGTCTGGTTCCTCAGTGGTTCCTGCTGGCCCTGGAGCGTTATTCGGATGAGCTGCGAGCCAGCCTGGGCACAGAGACAGGGAGGGCAGCACCAACCATCAGCTATGCCCAGCATCTCCCTGCCAACGTCCCCATCCACACCTTGTTGCTTGTCTGAATCATTTTGCAACAGAGAGCAGCAAACTCTGAGCCCCAGGAGGGGAGCAGGTCTGTGGACAGACCCCTCTGGCAGCAGATACGCTGCCCCTCGCCCAGAGGTTGCAGCCGCACGCTGGAATGTGCCTGCTGAGCAAGACACCAGCTTGGGGCTGTAATTACAGAGGATGGGCTGAAGTTCCTCTAATTTGAGCAACAGTTTCTGACAGGCACGTTGCAGGGGTGAAGCAGACCCTGCTCAGCTCCCTGCAGCACTGCCTGCCCCTGCCTGCAATGGGGGAACCAGCCAAACTCAGCCTTGACCTCCCCGTTCATCCCTCCCAGCAACGATTCTGACAGAGAGGGCTGTGGGCAGGAGGAGGCTTCCTGCCTGGATTGGGATCCCATACCTGGGAAGAGCTGGGAGAGAAGCTGAGAACACCCATGACGCTGATCCCAACAACTGCAAAAAACAAGGCAATGGACAGGATGATCCAGAAGGTCCTGGATGGAGCTGGGAAGCGTGCTGAGCCCCTCCTGTCCTGGAGCCAAGGCAAAAGGAGGAGAGATCAGGGGTTACAATCATCCCTTCTGCTGGTTTTTCTTTACCATAAAACACACTTCCCACTCGTGACACAAATCCCTGTGCAAACTGCTGGGGTTGGAGAGTAGAACTGCCAGAACATCCCAGCAGTTCCAGAATAATTTCATTTATCCCCCAGTGATGGAGATTCAGCTCTGACCTGCTGGTAACCAGCTCTTTCCTCCCGTGGCCAAGGAAGGGCTGGAGCAGGAACCTTTCCACTAACAGGGGCTGCTTTTCTTTAGCAGAAAATATAATTATTTTAGTTTCTAGGAGAAATCCCCAGGAGAATCATCAATATTAGAAACAGGCCCTGTGTGGCATGATTCTTCTTCCTTGTCCCTCCAGATATTTGGCTGTATTTTATTTCCTTGATCAGTTGTTCTCCATGCAAACCAAGCTGTTACTTGAAGTAAAGGAGCTTGGCACTCGTGTGGCATTTCTAGTGGCTTGATTAAAATTCACTCTAGCTCTTACATTGAAACAATTCAATTTAACTTAATGGCACAGAAAATTATTTTTACAGTGTGCTTTCAGTAAGGGAGTTTCAACCACACATCTGTTTCTCAATCTTTTGGAGAGAAATTCAATAAATGCCCATAGTTGGATTTGCTGCAGATGCACAAGGAACAGGCTCTGCACCCTCTGGGTCAGTTAGGGAGCTCTTTTGGTAACACTTAACCTCCAGATATTTTCCACCAGAAAAGCAGCAAGTCTTAACGAGGTCAGAGCTGCACAAAGCTGAAATCTTATCAACTCCAACACCCCAGAGTCCAGCCCCGCAGTAACAGGCAGGTTTTTGATAGCTAATGAAATTTCCCCCGGGGGGGAAAGGTGCAAATAAAGAAACCCAGTGGCTCCTGTGCCTCAGCACACGCACCCGAGCAACTCAGCAGCTCCTGGGCATTCCCCACCTGGCTGCTCTGTCACACCCTGTCAGTCTGGGCACTCACAAAATCACCCACTGGTAAGTGAGCTGCCTTGCCAGGAGCTGAACTGGGGGGTGCTGGGGTTGGGGTTGAACCAAACTGTACCAGGATCCATGCACGGCGGGAGCTGAGCCCCCTCAAAAGAGGGATGGAGCAAGCAGAGAGTGGGGCTGTCCCTGTGGCAGCTGGGGACAGGGACA